ACAAAAAAAAAAAAGAAATTAATATTATCTTCCAAGTTGGAAAGGAAAAAAGGCCACGGACTTTTAAAAGTTTTCCCTCTCTGATTTGTGATACCATTTTCCCCCCCTTTAATTTGTTTGCACATTCATGGAAATATGTGCGACTGTAAGCAAATAAGCAAATCAAATTAAGGTCTGATAAGGAAAGAATCCCAGTGGAAATTGCAATGTATGTACATAAACAGAAAAATGTTTTGTTTCCATGAAAGTAACTTTGGTTGTACAATTAGTCATTTCTTACGTTTCTGACTATCTCGAAAAGAAAACATCTGCTAAATATAAACTACACCCTAAAGAATTTTAACAGCAATTGAAGAGTTCCTGCTGGAACCCTATCTCACAGTCAGTGCCACGTCATGCTGGAAGCCACGGGACTTCCTCCCAAGGCCAGGGGGAAGCTGGATCCATTTTTACAGCTTTCTTATTTTTTCCAAAGAGGACCTTCCTCTCACTTGCACAATCAGAGTTCTTAATCTCACTACCAGCAATCCGAGCCTCAAAGACTGACAGATTATCAGACATCAGCGATTCCCTGAAGACATCAATCCATGACACTGTTCACTTTTATTATGGAGCATAAAATAGAGCCTCTAATCAAAACACGCAGCTGACTACAGCAGTAATATAAGGCAAGCTGATACTCATTTCCCTTGAGCAGCAAACCGAGGACAGCGGTCTCATCCACATTATTACCTAATGACAATGCACCATGCGAGACAGGCAGGGGAGGCCTGTGTGAGCCCCACGGGCTGCAGAAAACACGCGCTGCACGCTAGGGTGAGCTCGGAGCTGAGCAGGCAGAGTCCACTGCCAGCACGTTCTCAGTGCACGCCCATCCTGCATGCGAAGGGGACATCAGCTGTCTGCAGTCTGTCCCTATCAGCTGCCTAGATTGACGCATGTCATGGCATCACAGAAAGCACACAGGTCCTGGGCTCCCGTCAGAGCAACAGGCTCCCCAGTTGCACAATTGTGAAGATAATGATTCTCACCTTGAGTGTGGACATATGACAGGGTGTGCGTGAGCTATTTAAGACGTAGTATCATGAATTTGATGAGACTAGTTCTTCAGTAGGGTCAAGAAAAAAAAATTTTCATTCATCCAGAGGTTGTAGAATAAATGGTTCTGATCAACTCAATTATCCAAATCAATGAGATACCACGTGTACTGTGGACAGATCATCATCTTCAAAACAATATTAAGCACGATAAAAATGCCCAGTATCATTTCATTGTAAACATTACTGGCTTCTGGGTGACTCAGAAGACATTGCAGGGTCTCCAAGTGCACGAGGCAAACTCATGAACAGCAGATACTACCCAGATGTTCAGGAGTCAGTGGCTGCTAGAATCCTTACTAATTCCTACAACACAGCCTCAGAACTCCCACTCCCCACCCTGATTACCATGTCACTGTGCCTTCTCTTTCATGACAGAAGAGGACTTCAGCTCTCCAGTTACTTTGCCTTGCTTCAGTGAGCATCCACCGTTGATGCTTTAGACTATTCGGGCTGCCACATGTGGTTCCAGTCCCTGTGCACCTGGCAGAGACAGCCATGCTGTCCCCTCACTCCATCCTGGGCTGCTCCTCTGCTCCCAGTCACCTCTGAGCACTGCCAGCACCCAGTGCCACCCCTTCCGAGCACCCCGTGGCCACGGGGGTGGCTGGTCCCAGCTTGCCCTGGCATCTCCTGTAGGAAACCCCTTCCTCTTCTCGTAGCCATCTCTATCAGTCGCGAGTCTGTGGACTTAACATGTCCTGGGGACCCTCGTACAGGCAAAGGACGTGTGTCTGGAGGAGCAGAATGCTATGAGACCTCGCTGCTGGCTGCCCTGCTGTCTCCTCCCAGCTGCCCGACAAGCCAGCCTGGGTCCTCATCCTGGCTGGGAGCAGGGTTTGCCTTTCCATCCGAGAAGCCCCTGGGCCCATGGGAGGTGGGAGTTGTGGCCAACAGACTTCCCAGCCCCCGGGTGTCTGAGGACAGCTGCAGGATGACACCCTGTCACACACATGGCTGGCACTTTGATCAGTTTGCCAGGTGAGAAGCTCACAAAATGCAACTTGGCAGGAAGAAATATCGCCAGTGACTCAGAATGGACAATCGTGGCTTATTTACTATAGGCCCATGATTCCACTAAAGAGGTGACAGAACACGACATTGGGGAAGGGGCCTCTCTCACCTGAGCCTCCTTCGGAAACCACGAAAACATCAGAAATGGGACACCCAGCGCTGCTGCGCCTGGGGTGTGCCAGACAGCCAGCAACCAGCTCTGCAGCTGCTCCACAGTGACCCAAGCACGGGACAGAGGCAGCTTCCCGTGAACTGAAGTCCCCGGTACTCCCGGACCAACCCCAGCACACCTTAGGCCGAGCCTAACACCCTGTTGTGCCAACCTTTACTGAACTGGCCTGATGTGAGCCGTGGCCAGCCCCACAGTCCTGGGGTAGAATGAGGTTGGCACATGCCACAAACTAGAAATGCTCATCAGTCAATATGCCTTGTGGCCTCAGCACCAAGAGCTGGACACACGTGCACCCCACGCAGTCAGGAGAGGGTGCAGCTCATGCCTCGCTTTATCCTGGAACAGGATAAAACTGGCTGTGCTATCCCCAAGGCCAGAAGCCTTGTCACTATTGACAAGAAAATTTAAAATAAAATGAAGGTGACAAAAAGCAAAGTCTTGGGACTGCCCTGGAAATAAATCTGAGTGTGCAGTGGACCCCCCTGACACCACCCTTCGGACTCAGTCTTCCTGCTCTCAGCATGTGGTCTCACTCATGCACACCTGCCTGACTTTGTTTCACGCAAACCTGGTGTGTCAGTAAACATCTATGTCCCCGGTGGGGACAAGAGGAGAAGCGGGCACTTGGCCTCAAGAACAAATTAATCATTTTGCCAAAGATGTCATAATATTCTAAGAGAGAGAGCAGTCATAATTCACCTGAATACATTTTTTTAAAAGTCAATCTTTATAATTTTATGAACTTACCTATGGTATACATTAGGATAGTCTATTTAAAAAGGAAAAGAGGCATTCTAGAAGTTGAGAGATGAAATTATGAAGATAAAGTAACCAAACCATCAAGGTCCTGCTCAGTAGTTACTTGCCTGATAATTCCCCGCAGTGTTCAGTCTTCCTCCTCAAAACCTCTTGCCAAACTTCAAGATCAGAACAGATGACTTGAACACCTACAGAATCCCCCGCTACTCAAACACGCTTGTAGACAGCAGATCGACCTACTCAGTGCCTGTAGGTCAAAGCAGGACGGATTCCCAACTCCAAGAAAGTGGCAGGTGACAATGCGTATGATCACACATGAGAAATATATGTACTTAGGTTAGGTTTTAAATATTTTTTTCAAATTTAAAAAACCTTTAGGACAATAACGTGAAATTGGCTCATCCCCTCCTGGGCAGATTTACTACCAGGAAAATGGATAAAAACAGCACTGTGTGGCAGAAACTCTCAACCACCCTAACAGGTGAGTGGCGATTTTTAAGCATCCTTTAGAAACTGGGATTTTAGGGCTGGCCCGGTGGCACACTCGGTAGAGTGCCGTGCTTGGGAGCGTGGCGGCGCTCCCGCCAAGGGTTCGGATCCCATATAGAGACCGGTCCG